TTTCATGACTGAGTGGGGATTCAAACTGGATCTCCTCAGTTCTAGTCCAGCAGTTACACCCCACTGGCTCTCACAATGGAATGGGGCAATTACCAGTTGGCATGGACCTGGCAGGGACAGGAAGATGTTATCCCACCAGAGCATCAGGAAAGGGGCAGAGGAGGTGCTCTTGCCTCTGACCAGGCTTCTGGAAGCACCTCAGCCTGAATTTCTGTCTGGAAAATTTGCCACAGATTTCAGTGTGAGAAGGAGGGCCCCATTCGCCTGGGGCTGGCTTCGAGTTTGCCATTGCTGCCCCACGTAATCTATAGTGTTCACCCCCCACTCAACCTGAGCTTCAGAGGCAAAAAATTTCCACCTCCAACTTGAAAGTGAGTGGAAATGGGGGGGGGGAGAGAAAAAACACTCTGCATCTCTAGCTACTGAACTCTTTGCAGTACGGTTTCCATTTCCCTTGCCCAAGAGCAATATGGAGGGGAGGGTGGGATAAAAAGATCAGTCAGCAAGTGGAAAAAAGTGAGGGAATAGCAGGACCTTTGATGAGAAGAGGTTGTGAAGTAAGCCTCATGCAGGACGGGTTTTCATCCCAGAAACTGGCGGCACCTCGTGTTCTGAGGTAGCCACACAGTCTCAGCCTGTCATGGGCCGGTTGGATGCAGAGGAATGGTGGGAGGAACCATTGGATGGCCCCAGGAGTGGGGACTCTCAGGCCTCGGGGCCTGAATACAACCCTCCATGCATCTGTGTCTCGCTCTTGGGGGTCTCCACAAGCCACACCTCTCCACCAGCCTCCTTGAGTGCTTTTGCCTTGCTGAATGGTGTCTTTGCACTGTAAGGATGTCTTTGCCTGCCAGATTTGAGATGTGCCAGGGTGTGGCCTATGTCACAGTCACATCTGGGCCCCACCCATCATCAAAGGCCTGTGGCCTCTGGGGAAGGTGGTAAGGCAAAGCCAACAGAGACCATACCTGGCCTTGAACTAATATGGTGCAGTCCTGAATGGAGCCGCTAGGGTAGCTTTCCCTGACCTGGTGCCCTCCAGATGCTCTGTATTGCAATTCCCACCGTGCCTGATCACCATTAGCCATACTGGTTGGGGCTAAGGGGAACTGCAGTCTAAAACATTTGTGAAGGCCTTCTAGCAGGCTGGCAAGGAAAACATGTGTGGTCCTCCAGATGAAGCTGGATTCCAGCTCCCCTCAGCCCCAACCAGTATGGCCAATGGTCAGAAATAATGGGAGCTGTAGTCTAGGGCCATGGATTCCCTGCCCCCTAGTGGGCATTATCAGGGCTTGCCTCAGACTGAAGCCAGGCCAGAGTCAGAAGCATCATAAGGCCACATGCTTCCCTATTGGGCCCTTGGGTCACCTGACTCCTGTGCCACTGGGAGCTGCAATACCATCTTCTGACCACCTGGAGCGATGTTGCCAAACTGCAGCTGAGCACCAGGCAGTGGCTCCCTCCTTGGGTGAGCTGCCTTAGCCGTGGTGCAGAAGGGAAGCTGGCTCTGTCCTGCTGCCTAAGTCCTCAGCGGGCTCCGGTCCCCAGTGCCTGACAACAGATGAGACAAGGCAGAGCCAGGTTAGAGTAATATGGCAGAACCACAGACAGTCCCTGATAAACATGGATGTGCTGCTGTCAAGAGAGGAGAGCTATCCCTTTCCTCAGGATGTAGCATCTCCAGCCGCACCGCAGCCTACAGGGGATCTTAAGCGCATGGGGCTGATGGCTGGCCTGCTGTCTCAGCCGATTGGGTTTCAGACAGGAAGCCGAGTGTGGCCTGAAACTCTGCCAACTGCTCCATTTAAGCCCTCGCCCCCCTCCCTCTCCTAATCTCTTTACGGGCAGGTCTGAGCATTATCTCTCCCCTCAAAGGGAAATGGCAAACGTTTTCCATTTGCTGCAGGCTGGGGGAGCCCCCTGCCATATGTTGGGTATTATCCTTCCCCTGCAGGGGGGCACTATTACACATCACCTTGATGTGAGCTCCCCAAACTGTAATTCTCTGCCATTAGGCAAAGCTGCTTTTCCCATCCACAGTTCAATGCCGCTCGGGACTCCCTGCGGGTTCGGCAGCCGAGCGAAAGCGGACATGAGAGTAATTCAGACTGCACCATCAAGGCAAGGGGAGAGGAAGCTATCAATTACTCACAATGATTCCACGACTGGGCTGGAGATTCCTCACTGTCCTCCATGCCCTGTCAGTGTCAGGAAAGGCAGCAGAACGGTGAGCTTCTGCTACATACCAGAGCCCTTTGAGCAGCAGCTGAAAGCAGGGCACTATCACGCCCCTACAACTGTGCCATCTAGTATCTGAGTCATAATGAACTTAGCCCTCAGTGGAAAAGTCCACCTAGTGCCTCAGCTGGGCAGGACTGGCCCTACCGTTTTGCAGAGGGAGGGAACTGCCTCAGATGGCAAATACTGGGCTGTGAATGACAGTGTGGAATTGGAGGACAGGGACATGTATGTCAGGTTACTAGCCCTGAGCACCTAAGTTAGGTGTGGTGGAGAAGGACGCTCCATCTCTGGTGTGGGAAGTAAGATTGAAACTGTAAGTCTGGCCAGCTTCTGAATGTGGAATGTGTTGTTGGATCTTGCCCTTCATCTTAGGTAGGGATGGGGAAGAAATTCAATTCAGGCCACATTTAAAGGCAAACCTACCTAACTGGAATTTTCTGAAACAACACAGTCATCCTTTGAAATTTTCACTTCTCCAAATTTTGCCATGCAGTTCTTCTCCAGTCTAGTGGTGTTTACAAAAACATGTGCATTCGAGCAAAGTGTGCATAAAAACACATATACTGTAGTGAAATAACATACAAAATGCATAATTTTAGGGAAAACAACTTTGTAAAAATGTGTATAGCAGGCAAAATTATATGCAATGTGTGCACATTGGGATAAATTCACATTAAAATGTTGATGGATTTTCAGGACTTTTTTTAAAAAAAATGGCAAACTGCTGTGGAAATGTGGAGCACTTAAGATGGAAAAAAAAGAGAAAAATGGAGAGAAACCAAAACTGATTGATTTGCCCATCCCTAGTTTAAGCCTGGCGTGCTCTGGTCCATGGGGTCACGAAGAGTCAGACATGACTAAACAACAACAAAGTTTAAGGTAGGAAAATATCTTGGAGCAGCCAAGCTGTAAACCTGGCCTTGGGAACCTTTGGCCCTGCAGGTGTTGCTAGAGGACCACAACCACCATCCTCCCTAATGACTGGTCGTAGGGGCTGGGGCTGGAGTCGAACACTGTCTGGAGGACCACAGCTTTCCCATCCCTTCTGTGCTTGCCCTTGAATAACTAAGTTCTGAGGGTCAATGTTCACTGAGGCAAAGCCTCGGTCTATCTACATGCCATGACTGCCACTCAATGCAGGTCATTGGACGACACCTCCATGTGGTACTGGCTCCATGACCATTGGTGAAGCTCACACTGCAAGGATATCAGTTAAATTACTGGGGAAAGAGACATAAGGATTGGAAGTAGAAAACGGGACTGCTGAGGGACAGAGTTGGGGTTGGGGAGAGGAGTGAGGCATCCACACTGCTGGAAAAAGGACCAAAAAAGAAAATTATGGAAGCAGAAACAAACTTAAGAAAAATCCTTTGTTTAAATGACTATATCCACATGGCTGAGGAGCCTCCCTCCCTTTTCTGACACAAGCCCTTGTTGCTGGGCCATTTATCCAGGGTACAGTTATTCTGAAAGACAAGTCTAATAAGGATTTCTCCAGCACGGCTCAGTCAGCCAGTCACTCACTCAGTCACGCACTGACCGCAGGAAAGCCATGCTTTAAAGGCTTTTTGTTAACGAGAGCGTGTCAGAAAGAGAAAATGAAGGGGGGAAAGGAGTACAATTTCCATGCCAGATTTTCTTCTGGCACTGGAAGAAATGTTCTTTCACAAAGTCCTATTGTTTTAGGCAGCTCTGACTGAATAGAGTTAGGGCACAGGTGAACTATTAAACAAGAAAGAAAGAAAGGTAGGTCTCAATTTTTCACAGTTTCAAATCTCTTGCTACCAAGCAAAGTCTAGCTGGCCAAAAGACTGTTTCCTTGCAAGGCGAAGGAATGAGAGGGAGAGGGAGAGAGTGTCCCTTTCGCAAGAGCAGGCAGAGAAAGGTCACACAGCTCCCCGGCTGCTGAACTGCAAAGCTTAAGCACAACCATCTTCCAAAAGCTATGCAAGACTCTCCTATTTGGGCCAGCATTTATTGGCTGGATCCCATCAATAGTGGAGTATTTTACATCACACACACACGCGAAACACCCTGAAAGTATGAAAAAGAGACATTTATTTACCTCCTGCTTGAAACTCTGGACAAGGAGACAAAATAATGGCCAGCAGAAAACCAGCCAAACCATATGAGTGTTGCAGGAGTTCCCCTTTCACATGCTTAAAGAAGCCTCGCTAGGGCAGTGGGGATTTGTGACAGGAGCCAGAAATGCAAGTCTGAAAATGGAACTGGCTAAATATACTCAATGGAAAGATGTAGGAGCTTCCACTCCACACCCTTTAACATTTATTGGCTTGGCAGGAGGAGAGTGGGCGTCCAAGGGGCAGAAAGGAACATATTTGCTTGTATAGGCAAGCGGTACTTGTTAATATATTTTTCTGTGGGTGTTTGTGCATGTTTAAATGTCTTTGTGTCTATGCATTAGAGACGTATAGTCCATTTAGAAATATGTAGTCTTCTGAACACGGGTGAGGAGTCGTTTGTTGCTCCACCTACCTGTTGCCTCTGTTCCTGCCCACCACTGGTAGGCAGGCCCCAGAACGTTGCTCCTGAGAGAGTGCAGCCCTCAAGATGAAAAAAGTGTCCCAGCCCTGGAATAAATCAACATCAAATTATGCAACTGCAGAACGGAGAGCAGCTCAAAAGTGGGACTGCAATCCATTGCAGCACTTCATTAGGCTGCATGTGTAGACCAAGCCTCTGTTTCCAGTTGTTGTTCATGTGTGATGTCCTATCTGCATGCTTTGCATGTATGTATTGGGGATGGACTGTAGCTCAGTGGTACAGCATCTGCTTTGAATTCAGAAGGTCCCTGGTTCAATCCCCAACATCTCCAGGTTGGGCCAAGAAAGGACCCTGCCTGAAACCCTGGAGAGCTGCTGCCAGTCAGTGTGTAGACAGAACTGAGCAAGATGGACCCATGGTCTGATTCCATGCAGGGCAGATTCCCATGTTCCTATCAATGTACCTTGAGAATGAGAAATACAGTCGTACCTTGAAAGTCAAACGGAAGTCTGTTTGACTTCCAAAATGTTCGGAAACCAAAGTGCGGCTTCTGATTGGCTGCAGGAAGCTCCTGCAGCCAATCGGAAGCTGCGGATGCCTTGTCGGATGTTCGGCTTCCAAAAATAGTTCACAAACTGGAACAGTCACTTCCAGGTTTGCAGCATTCGGGAGCCAAAACATTCGAGAACTAAGCTGTTCGAAAACCAAGGTACGACTGTAATCACATTGCAGCATTAGCTGTAGCATATGGGAACTGCATTTGGGTTACAGTAGGGAGGAGACGGGAATTCTGTCTCCTTAGGACAGTTCGCACGTCATGCATCAAGGGAAGGTAGCAAAGTTGTGACAAAGAAGGAAGGGATTTGGTATTTGTTAAACTGGGGTGTGGGTGTGACAAGTGGGGCTTAAAAAAATGTAATGTTTTATAGATGGTCCCTGCTGATGTGCTGGCTGGAAAAAGCTGGTAAGAACTTGTACTACAGTTTGCTTGCTTGCTTATCAGCTTTGTCTGTTTAAAGAATTTATATGGGAGGGCAAAATCCTCCCAAGGCTATTTACAAAGGTAATTTGAACCATCAAGCAATTAAAAAAAATACAGATACAATCCTCCAATTTTTAAAAGCTGAGTGGTTTCTACACATCTTGAGCTCTCATACTCTTCTCACAACACCAAGGCCAGACAGCCCAAGCACATTTAGCCTGCACTGGTTCCATGGCCTCCTAACATCATACTGATCTTGGATGGTATGGAGCCAAAAACCGGGATGCACATCTTCTGGGACAGGCTCCCAGCTGAGTCGTGTGACCCATGCTGTGTTCTCAACCCCCCAAAAGGTGCTTTTTCGGGGTGAGATCTTGTGCAAGATCACAGCCTCAATGAAGTGCTTTTTCAAGGCATGAGCACAGCACCCAAAATGGCCGCCATGATTTCACGCAAAAATAACAGGCTGTCCTGTTTTTTCCGAGGCACTGGGAGGGGGGTGTAACAGCACATCTGGAAACAAAGAGGCCTAGCAGCAACCAAATAACTCTCAGCAAGAATGTGACTTCCTGGCAAGCAAGAGCACTTTGACAATGGAACCAATTTGGCCCAATTAATAGTGGGCTCTCCGTGACTGGAGGTCTTCAAGGATAGGGTGGGACAGCCATGTGTTATGAGTGCCCTAGTTCTGGGTTTTTCTGAAGTGAGGAAGGGGTTGGAGTACACCAGTCTTTGCCAACTTGGCACTCTGCAGAGGGTTTGGACTACAACTCCCATCAGCCGCAGCCAGCTGTGTTCCAAAGCATTTGGAGCATGTCAACTTGATTAATTAAATAAAGTAACAGGATTTATATACATATTTAATCATCTTTGACTGTAGGCAGTTTACGCAGAATCTAAAGTGTTTATTTTAAAAATAAACATTAAGAACAGGTTTACCTCAACATTTATCAAAATATAAGTCAAATCAGCAGTTAATAACATAAAATTGCATGTTATAAATTGCATGCCTGGGTAAGCTTGCCAAGTTGGCAAAGTCTGGAGTAGGTGGTCTTTAGGTGGCCCCTTCCAGCTCTGCACTTCTATGACTACTTGAAAAGTGAGAGATTGAACCCATCACCCTGAATTCCAGAGGTATGAAGTAATAGGCTGTGGCTCCTGGAGGGTTAAAGGTTAGAATAGATTTAATATTTGTTTGCAACATATCCAACAACAAAGTAAAGCTCCAAGCAGCTCATGAGGATGACAAAGGAATTAAATGTTTCCGTCAATATATGCATATCAACAGAATTAACTAAGAGCCCAATAACACATCAGTGATGGGAAAACCCCCAACAAATTCAATAAGCAATTCATTTTATTTTTTTTTAAGAATATTTATTCCAATTTTAAAATTACAAAGAAAAAAAAAGTAGAAAAAGAAAAACAAATCACATACATCTTACAATAAAACAAACAGTAAAAAGAAAAATACAAAAAACAAAAAATCACAATAAAAAAGTAACAAAAAATCAAATTAAACCATTACAACCGTCTTCCCATTTACTTATTTCCGTGACTTCCTCTCACCTCTCTGCTTTGTATTCTAATTTAAATCGTATCTCCAGCAAATCCTTCTAACCTTCTTTTCAATTACTTATTTTAACATTCGAAAGTATTTAATTCTCCTCTATCTTTGTTTTACACTTCATATTTACTTATTCCATTATACTCTGTCTGCCAATACGGTCTAATATTCTTCTCAACCTTTTCTAACATTCTTTTATATTACAGTGTTTCTGAAGATATATTTTAAATTTTTTCCAGTGTTCTTCCATCGACCCTTCATCCTGATTTCGAATTCTGCCGGTCATCTCAGCCAGTTCCATATAGTCTATCACTTTCCTCTGCCATTCTTCTCGGGTAGGCAATTCTTGTGTCTTCCAGTATTTCCCAATAAGTATTCTTGCCGCTGCTGTCGCATACATAAAAAAATTCCTGTCTTCCCTTCGCACCAATTGGCCGACCATGCCCAAGAGGAAGGCCTCTGGTTTCTTCAAGAAAGTATATTTCAATACCTTTTTTAGTTCATTATATATCATTTCCCAGAAAGCCTTAATCTTTGGGCACGTCCACCAAAGGTGGAAAAAAGTACCTTCGTTTTCTTTACATTTCCAACATTTGTTATCAGGCAGATGATAAATTTTTGCTAGCTTGACTGGGGAATTCAATAAGCAATTCAAATAAAGTTGAAAACATAAATCAAAAATAAATTATCACAAAAATCAATAGGGAGTACGCTTCCAATTAGATAATGCTAAAAAGAAGTAAATCGGCACCCTAACCACAATAAAACATTCTAAAAACAAAATGTAAAGTGCAAAGTGCAAATACACGTGCATGCCGAGAAGCAAGGCTAAAATAGTCACAGGTTTAACCTAAACAGAGGATGTCAGGAAGCAGCCACGCCCCAAGGACCATTCCCCCTCATTCTGCCCAAGTGTCACCGCAAAACGTCACTGTGTGAAGCCTGTTGGCATCTAGGCAGCAGTTTCTTTTATTGTTTCAGGTATAAATGGATGGAGGGTGAGTGTCACCTGATCTCACTCTGCCCTGAATGGAATACACTCCTCTGCTGGTAGTAGCACATTCCCAGCAGGCACTCTGCACATGCTAAGATGTGCTCTTGCAAGGTTTAATCCCTGGGAAAGCATTTAACCCATTGGACCCAAAGTGGTTGTGGTGTTGAGGATGATGATGGTGTACCTATAAATTGCAGAATCTTCCTCCTCCAAAAACAAACAAACCATAAAACATTTGCAGCATCCTTTGCATGTGTTAGCAGAATCACAGAGCAGTGGTACAGTGTTTTGAATCCTAGCGGGTGTTTGCATTTATGCGCCTGCCTATGTGAATGTGTGAACAGACAGGAGTGAAAGAGCATGCCAGGAGTTGCGTGGGCTTTTACTAACCACTGTGAAGTAGCTCCTCATCTATGATCAACATTCAAGAGGTAACTTGAAAATGGGGGCAGCTGGGGGATTAAACAAGGCATCTCTGGTTCGTGGTCGTAAACACTGCATAGCCAAGGGAGAAATTTCACATCCTGTAAGAATCCTTCAGGATTGTTGCATGGTCATTCTTCCGTGCCTTTTCTTTTCTCCAGAGACTTCTTGGCACAGTGTGGCATGGCAGAAGGATGAGGGGCCTATTCATAATAACTTACGGCCGTTTCGTTTCCCACAATGCCCCTCACTGGAGCTCTCCAATCAGGAGCAGCAGCCAGAGGTGAGGGAGCTGCTGTGGAATCCATACACCTCACAGTTTAATAACAGCACGCCTTTTGGGGAGAAAATAAAAGGGACCAAGAGGGGAGCAAAGAGAGGGAAACACTGAACGGAAACACCTGCTGAAGCTCTGGGGAGCGGAGTGGCTGCTGCGCTGGAGCCAGGATGGGCCTTGTTCAGCCAGGAAAGCTGGAGCTGGAGACGGCTGGGTCTGCTGCCAGCCGAGGTGTTAATAGGGGCTTACACTGAAGGGGCTGCCGCAAGGAGAGACAAAACAGCCCGGCAAGAAATAGGTCACACCTGCTGCTGGAACATGTTGGCGCGCGAGAGAGAAAGAGAGGCCTCTGCACTAATGTGCGTGTGCTGTGCACATCCATGTTCCTCAGACAAATGAGATTATGACAATAGCTCTGTGTCCCTTGGTCCCCCTGCCCAGGTGGTCTTCATGATGCAGGCTACCCACTCATCAAGATCTTGGGGTCAAGTTGCCACATCAGTGTTCTCCAAAACAGTATGTAAACCAAATTTTGCTATGCAGCTCTCCAGCCAAGTAAGGCGTACAAAAAGTGCCTGGACTAGGGTAAAATGGCATAAAAATCTGTATATTAGGAGAAGCATGCTGAGGAATTTTCATGTTGATGGTTTTTTAAATCAGAAATTAATGGTTTCTGCTGTAGCCTTTTGCCTGGCCTTTCCAGAATGGGGTATCCCATTAAAGAGATCAAGGGCAGATGCTTCTGTCCAGACATCCATGCAGAGGCAAGGGGCCATAGCACTCTCCAGGTGCAGTCCACTGGGGGAGTTACTCTTTCATGTTTTTTGTTTTGTTTGTTTAGTCATTTAGTCATGTCCGACTCTTCGTGACCCCATGGACCAGAGCACGCCAGGCACTCCTGTCTTCCACTGTCTCCCGCAGTTTGGTCAGACTCATGTTTGTAGTTTCAAGAACACTGTCCAACCATCTCGTCCTCTGTTGTCCCCTTCTTGTGCCCTCAATCTTTCCCAACATCAAGGTCTTTTCCAGGGAGTCTTCTCTTCTCATGAGGTGGCCAAAGTATCGGAGCCTCAACTTCAGGATCTGTC